AGTAAAGTAGAATTAGCTCATCTGGTCATGTTTCCTGTCTGGTCTACCTCGTAAGGCTGACTAGTGGAGATGGCATTGGCTTCAGCTACTTGCCATTGCATGCGATCTGCCAGCAGGTTTGTGGGGGATTGAGGAAAGAGTAAATAGGCCTTCAAGAAGTCATTCTCTGTCCATTGTGCAACTGCCTGCCAGGCACTACCCCATAGAGGGGAGGGAGCATGTGTGCACTAGCTAAAAGCAAGCAGTGGGAGCTGGGCAGATTGTACCCTGTTGTATCTTCATCTCAGCCACTGCCAAAGCATGACACATCATACAAATAGCAAAACTAATGTTGGGAAAACCTGGAGAAAACAACATTAAATTTCAGGTTCAGAAAAACTTGAAGTGAACTGGCCTCAACTGTGGGCTGGATTTGACAGGAAAGTTGCATCATGCAGAAATGTCTCCTTCAAAAACAGCTACCCCAAAATCCTCAAGCTGGATTTAAGGGGGCATGTAAATGTGCCTATGTAGAGAGATACTGTGCTTTATGGGATGAGAAATGAATACCATACTCTTTTCTACGCTGAGCAAGCCTGAAGTCAAAATTTAATTCTATATTTCAGTTGGTGTACAAACATGCTTACACTCTCTTTTATATGTATGTCTATGTGTGCTGCACTCATGTCTGAACTTACTCTCTACAATACATCTTTATGTTCGTTCTCTCTCCTAAAGATTTGTATGAAGGACGATCCACTGTGTTGGCAAATATTTTGCAAATTTGGAGACATGGAGAGTGGCAAGGAATCAACTGTTCAAGTTCAACTGGAAGCAACACCTTCACTATTAAACATAGTAAATGTTTTAATCCTTGTGCTATCATACTGGAGGCTATATCATATCCTTAAGAGTCAGAACCACAGACAAAATGCCATACTTCAATAGCAGATTTAGCAGCTGCTTAATATTCTTTCTCTGAAATCCCTCAGATGAAAATCACTTAATTTTGAATCGCCTGAGTCCCGTGTAGATTCTCCATCTTACCTCCTTAACCTCACTTAATATTTCATATTATTTTGTATTTGAATCCTTACAGTGCAGTTGATTTAGAATGTTCGTACCTCTTAAAAACAGGATGAAGCTTCAGTGCTTACCTTTGAGGTGAAAGGAGAAGTTGCAGCACATCAAAATCCCAGAGTTATTGAACTCCACAAAATTAAGCAAACCACTTATGTAAGTATCTTTACATGGCATCAGATTAGAAAATATTCTGACAACTTTGAGCATCTAACCCAGATCTGCTTGGAATTTTTATGTCAAATTGCTCAAACAGAAACTGAAGAAAAGCAGTAACCTCAAATGGATGATTGGATCATCCAAGCAGACAGGATTTATCATTCATTTGGCATTGGTTCTTGCGTGATTTCAGCATCAGATGCATATTCTGCTACATCTAAACCAAGGGCTGTTGTGAAGAAGCACAGTATGCTGTTTGCATGTATTAGCAAGAAAGCCAAATTTGCGATGTCATAAATGCCAGGATCTTTATCGTATGATTATTTAGTCAGAAATTGTAATCAGAGTTAAAGCATACCACTGAAATCAGTGGCATTTAATCTCTGTTATATATGTACCTTGAAGGCAAACAAGCCAAAGAAACTCAAATCAAAACTGTACAACATAGGCCTCCTAAAGAATATTCCAAATACGTGCTTCTACCTGCGATAACTGTGTGTGCCTTATTTTATACAGATCATTTTGGAGGGACGCCATAACCAAAAGACAAAACATAGTGTCGCTGTCCTGCTTATTGTAATAGGTTCCCTATTTGGAATTATTTTGCTTTTGTTTCTTGTATTATTTTTATGGAAGGTACGTATTTCAGTTTTAATCTACACATTGGTGCATTTTTATGGGTTGGCTAGATATCCATCCAAAAGGAAAAATACAGCTTTTCCAAACACAAACAGAAATCAGCAGTGTATTCTAGAGGACACAGCTTTCACATATTTTATAATGATTTTTATTTGGCATTTGTGGACAAATGAGATTTTTATGCAGCTCCTTATACCTTAATGTGATTTGAGGAAATGACAGCAAAAAAATGAGCAGAGAATTCCAAAACAAGCAGCCCGTTGGACAGATGGCAAGGGAGGAAATCAGGCTTTGGGATTTATGGGGAGAAGTGCTGTGGTAGTCAGATCTAACTCAGAGATTTTAGGCTTCCTGACCTCCCAAATAAATAGCTCTTGTTTCGTTTTAAACATTCTACAATTTGGAAAACAATAGATTTAAACATCAAAGGGAGAATGCTTTTTACTTGGTTCGTGGGATGTTCCTGCTGGATGAAGTGTGTCCATTTTTTAAACATAAAAAATAAGTTTTTATTTGGAATGCATTTTGAATGTAGCCAAATCTTGGTGTAATAACCAATACATAAAATGCAGTTTAAAACAATAGCACAGTAGTAGTCTGCTCTTTTATGCCACTAAACCTCCTTAAAAATGAATGCAACTTTTAATGAAAATATTTTCAAAAATATTGATGCAAGCTATACAAAGAATTGGTAAAATGCTTAGGTGTACATTTTATTCTTACCATTAGTCAAAACCCTTTTTTCAATAAATATCTAAACATAATGTAAACAGTGCTTATCTTTGGATAGGTCATGTCCTTTTTCTAAAATATACATATAAGTGCTTTGAAATTGCAAGCTTTGTAACTATTTTTGGAACTGTATATTCCAGGTGGGATTCTTTAAAAGAAAATACAAGCATTTTCCTCAAGAAGAAACTAGAAGTGAAAGTTTGGAGTTTTTTAAACATTCACAATAATGCCACAGAGTAGAAAGTTTGGTAAAACTAAAGAACTACCCGCCAGAAGAACTGTCAAATCTTAAGCCCTCATTATCATATATGAAAGAAAGTATTCATCAAAATGGGCTTCCAAAAGCACAAACCATAGAAAACTCTGAAGGATGAAGATATTCAAGACTTCTAATGAAAGAAAAGAAAAACTCAAAATACAAAAACGACAAGGAAACACTAGGAATTGCTCCTTGCTTTTAAAAAGAAAGTACTGAGAAGGAGCATTGTACTAATCATACTTGAATTGAGAATGTATAACCTCACCGCTCAGGAGACTCCTATGTATAGGAGAATGCTTAAATTAGATCAATTTTAGTCTCCACACAATTAATGTAGAACCATGTTCTCCCCTTTTCAGAGTTAGTGACTGCTGACAATTTTTATTCTACTCCCCACCTCCTTGCTCTGGGAATACTGGGAACCTCCAGGTACAGAAGAGCTGTGCTTATACGTGGGACCTGTTCAAGGAAAGAAGTGAGGCAACTGCTTTATGGAAAGGGGAACAGCATGCTAACTTGGATCTCCCCTCCATTATATCTGGTCAGACTCACCACCCAGTTTAGAACCCTGGAAAATTGGCATTCTCGGTCAGGTAGGGAGTCTAACTCAAGAGAAAAGGCTTCCTGTCGCAGAGAAGGAGGGGTCATGTAAGTGGAAATGAAGAAACTAATCTGGTTTGTAAGCTCCTCCTGTATGTCTCAATCTGAAAAACCAAATGGTAGAATAGAACTTTTGGCTCAAGGGATTTTTGGCGTATGAGGGATTGTTGTTGTGCAACTTTCAACCATGTTTTGAGGGTTCTACCTGGGTTGGTTGGAGAAGTCCTCCCATTGTATAAAATCAGGGAATTGCAGTAACCCGTTCCTCTTATGCAATCATTTTATTTATTTTTTTATTTTGAAGAAGCAAAGAGAAAGAACCTTTACCTAATTTTTAGATGCCAGTATTTTTTTGTACACATTATATAGGTTAAGAATGTTTAGCATAAGGTTTAAGGAGATGGTGAAGTACTGCACTTTAATCCCAAGGTAATTATTATTTGAACAAAACAGTCTATGACATCAGTTGTACCTCAAAAGCATTAAAGACTGAAATGTGATTAAAAAACAATCTGTTCTATCACTGTATAATCCTACACTGTAAAAGGGAATGATCAACATCGAACTAATAAAATATTAAATAAAATGGAACATGAAGCTGTCAAATAATTGTAGATATCCAAATTCATAAATATACAATTCTGTGACATGAATATTATTTTTTAAAGTGACTGTTAACAAAGATAAAATTATTAACAGACTTTCCCTATTTAATGTACTTACAAAGACTGGTATTTGCAATGCTGTGCCGTTTAACTATTTTGAAAGCCTAAGGAGACTTATTTAAAAATGAACACTTTATTTCCTGACAATTTTTTTTAACAGTATTTTTCTCCAATACCCTCCATGATAACAATGCAAATATCATTGTAATTTGCTTACTAACTGTTAGTACAGAGGCTGAAAACCTCTATTACACATAAATGTTTGTATGGTATTTCCCATCTCAAAAATGTGAATTCTAGGATGGTGCTAATCCTGTGAAAGAAAGGCTTCCCAGTGAGTGGAACCATACATGAAGCTCCTCTCTTGAAATCATTAAAGCAGGCACGTTTTTCAGAAACTTACTTCAGAAGCTGCTCCCACCTTATATTGTACATAAACAGCCATTTTTTGCAAATGCAGAGACCCACTGGGAGCAGTTGCATGAAAAAGAGGCAGCTGCCTTAATTTAAAAAAAATGCATTGAATGCAATCCCATGTTATTACAGAACCCCTCTTTCAAAGGATTTGCATAGCCCTAGTGATATTAATAATCCTCTATGTTCTAGCCCCATAGCAAGCAGGGAATAGACCTTGTAACCCTGGAGTAACACACCCAGATTGAGTATTAATTTTGACTATCTCTTTGTTATTACAACAGGGAGTGAAAGAACTTGCAGCATTACACATAGCTTGAAGGCCTATCATTAATTGTTTTAACCCTTTCATCTTGTTAAAAAAAGTCCAGCCCAGTGTCTAATAAAGGAAATTGATCACAAAACCCTCACAATAAGTTATTGCATTCTAATCTAGCTTTTACAGTTTGACTCTCACCACTGATATTACCTAGAAAAAAACAAATACTTTGCATCTATTTGCCTGAGGGTCAGAAAAAGAAATATTCAGGGATCAACTCATTCTTCGCTAGATTTTCTCAACATCAGGAGTCCAATAATTCAACAGTCTAGGCTACAGCCTTTTAACACTTCAGACCCAAACACTATAAATTTCTTCCTTGGAAAAATCACCAGTGACTGTTAAAAGATGTTCCATTTTAACTGAACAACTCAAATACTTTGCATCATAGTTATCCATAAATGTGGTAACAAGTGGAAGCTTAGTCCTGCACAAACTCAGCCCTTTAGTAGTTTCATTTTATTAGCGATACGAAGGCATCATAATTAGTCTCCAGCACACTGAGTTCCTCCTTCTTCTTCCAGCTAGATCTACTTTTTACCAAATGAAACAATGCAAAGAATTTGGTACATTTGCTGGATTTTATTTATGAATGAATTTATATAAGGAACAAAAGTTTAATATAAGGCCATAATGTACAAATCCACTGTATGATTTCTATTTCAAAAATCAGCCAAAATCTGCCAAATTATCAGTGGAAGCTTTACTGAAATGTCTAGTTGACAGTTGTGCCAATTTATTCACTGGTTGTATTTACTCTTATGAAATCATCATTCAATACAAAACTAAGTATTTCAGCTGTTTTGCTTCAAAGAACAAATTGAAAAATATTCTCAATTACCTTTATTTTTAAAAACATCAGTAATATGCAAATATATTGTTATTTCAATTAAAAACTGAGTTTTAATTGAATTTTATATATTAACTCATCTCAAATTATCCTGCAACTTGTGAATTATTAGAAAGGAGTCATTTTGCCTATGATGTTCTAAAAAGGTCAGGTGAATGCCTAGTGTAATGCATGGATTCATTCATTATAATCCATTCACTCATTAGAAGACTCAAACCATGTCCAAGTCAAATACTTGCTAAAATAGTGGTTTCTTCTACCAAATGTACTTTAGTTTTGTCTAAAAACCAATCCCCCTGCATCTTTTTCTCTGAATGATCTATTAAAGAGTTCTATTTTTATACTTTCCATCTTGCCATTTTTCATGCCATGGAACTGGTTAGTTTAAAAAAAAAATCCTCACCACCCCTGGATCAAGAGGCAAAGCTCCAGTAACAGAAAACTGCCTGTGTTCAAGCAAACTTTTTTGTTTGTTTTGCCTTTAGTCTCTCATGGAACCACATCAAGTTCTTGCAGATTGCTAGGGTTCCATGGAACACAGTTTGAAAAATCCTGGTATAGTGCAGGAAGTCAGGTCATTCCCTATGCAATTGATACTACAGGTAGTCCCCGGGTTAAGAATGCCCGATTTAAGGACAACCCATAGTTAAGAATGGAGCCTACTGTAGCAAAATTTGAGTTAAATACACAATGGTTTGAGTTAATTACACAATACTACTTATACGGTATCTTACTGTGATGGACTGGAATGGTGGGAAGGGAGTAAAGAATGTGCTCTCATCTCCAGAGGAGCGAGGAAGAGATAAG